AAACTGTTAATTGAGATGTGCTTCAAAATGGTCGGTTTCTTACTTATGTTTTCGTTGCCGTTCTCAATAATCAATTCAGAAGGGTATTAGTCAAAGCTTTTTCAGCTGACTGCATATCCATGTTATTCTATTAAATGTTTTGGTTTAATACCTTTTCATTCTTTGAAAATATGGCTCTTTTTCCTTTCCCCCCCCCTCTCCCCCCCCCCCCCTCCCACCTCGCACGAGCTTCAATATATTAGTGTAACGAGTGGTTTTACGAGGTTGAGTATGAAAACCAAATATGTTTGTCGTGGCCTTATTAGTCTGTATGTAAATTTTCATAACAATCGGACAATGTGGACAACAAATTTACACGTAAAAAATTGCAGGTGGGGGGGGGGGGGGAAGGAAAAAGAGCCGAAAATATTTAAGTTTCTGGAGAGAACAGAAAGTCGCGAAGGTTTCGTTTTTTTTTTGATAAAAAATAACTCAAAATGACGGAAGACACAGAAAATTTAAAATACACCTGCACGTGCTCTTAGAATGGTTGAAGGTTTTCTTTTTGAGTAACTGACCTATCATGACATGGCAAGTCTGTTTGTCGTAGGGGAAGTATCTGACATTGACCAGACAGCTGGTGACTAAAACATAGGAGGAGTCCCACGTGACCACTCCCCTGTAGTTCACCTTCAACTTCACAGGCACCTCCCGTATCTCAACACTAAACAATTCCAAGCAAAAACAAATAATTTATATTTCTGACCCGCAGATTATGACATGTTTTTAATTTTTGACCCGCAGATTATGACATGTTTTTAACTTCTGACCCGCAGATTATGACATGTTTTTAATTTTTGACCCGCAGATTATGACATGTTTTTAAATCTGCCAGTGACGGCTCGAACGTTTTCTTCTAAGGAGTGGGAAATAAAACGGCTCTTTTTCCTCCCTCAATCCCCCCTCACCTCGTATGAGCATCAATTTTTTGATGTAATGAGTGGTTTTACAAGGTTAATTATGAAGACCAAATATGTTTGTCATGGCCCGCATGTTCGTCCGCATGTCAATTTTCGTGGTAATCGGTCGGTGGGAACAGTAATTTTACTTGCAAAAAATTGCAAGTGGGGGGGGGGGGAAGGAAAAAGAGCCAACGAAACGAATGTTCTGCCCCGGGCAAAAAAGTCCAAAAAGTAGAAACTTTCCGAGACATTTGTGTCCGAGACAAATTTTCCCAGCTCGATCCTTTAATTTTATAAAAATTTAATTTGTTTTTAATTGACAAGGCATGTCCACCTAGTGTTTATCTTCATGTTTTGACAAGAAAACCGCCATTCGAAGCTGAACATTTTGGGACCCATATGACCGGGGATGTGTTGTCTGGGCATTTTTCAGTCTTTTGGACAATTTTGTCTGGGACACAATTATCCAAACACCAAAATGAATGTCTTTCATTTTCGAAATGAAAAGAAAAATTTCATCTGATCTTTACTTAACTTGTCTGAAAAACGGATAATTAGACCACACTTTTTTGACAATCCAGGAATGTTTTTGAAATAGAAAAATGTACCCCGGCTCAAAATTGAAAAGAAAAGTTAAGATTTTGAAAAAAAGCATTGGTTGATCTGTGTAATTTTGAGTAGATTTCTTCAACCGGATAAAAACAACTGGCTATTTAATTCAGGCGCAAATAACAAATGACCAAATTTTTTGGTTCCACTGAAATTGCTACCGGAACAAAATCTAATTCAGTCATTTTGAGCCCAAGAATGAGAAAAGCTCGCTTATACATTCCGTTCCATGGTAGAATGACTATCAAATGAGGTGTCATTCACGCTAAAATGGGCTCATTTTAACCCGATTAACACACCCAATTAACCTTGCCGGCATTTGATCTACCTATGCACAAAAAATGACAGCCTAGGAGCTTGTGAAAAAATAGAATTTGTAATTTTGTACCGTGTAGATTCAGATAAAGTTTTGAAAAAAAAAGAAAGAGCTAGGGTGAAAATGTTTTTTAACGGGAAACAAGTTGAAGCGAGCAACTTTGAAAAACGGCAGGGAACTTACATCATTTCAGACTATCAGTGAAGCTATTGCTACTAATACCAGATTTGGGGGGGGGGTTGTGGACGCCCTTTCCTATTTTTTACGAATTGGACCTTAACGTGGACGAAAAGATCCCCCAAAGTTTTTTCTGCTAGGACTCGCAGTAGGGCGCCTTTGTAGTAGACATCAAATGATTTGAGATGTACGAAACGTTTTTTGATTTTCCCCCGTTTTAAAAGAATTGTGTCTTATTTTGATACTTTTTAAATATGTATAATATTGTTAATTGACAATGCAGCGCTAATTGGGTTTTTCTGTAGAAAAGTTCGAAACGATGCTGAACGATGCATAGTCAAGCATGGCTGTCGTCCGCTGTCGTACAATTTTAACTGCATAATTTTTTTTTGAACATTTTTAGCCTTCCCTTCAAAAAGCTTTCTGAGAGCGCCAGAGCCTACATGGTACTTTACAACACTATCAAAACGTTGATTCCAAGGGTAAGCATTGACGAATTTTTACCCCTCCAACATGGTGGACTGAACATGGGGGGGGGGGCTGAAGAAGGGGAGGGGGATGTTTAAAAGGGGGAGCTGAAAAGGTGGGGGAAGCTTTGTGCGGGTAGGTCAATTTTTGGGGCAAGGGGTGTGGAGGGTGCACACGGGGATCAACTTGTGTTCGTTTGGGTTCTAGTTTTGCAAAACGCTGCAAAAAGTAGAGTAAACATTTCACATCTGAAAAAAATATTCAATTTTTTGTGGATTTTATCAGCAAAAATTTGTCATTTATAATAAAAATAAATGTATCATAATCGATTGCAATGCATTTTATTAGATTTTTGAATTATGAAATTTATCTATAAAAATCCACTCTATCCTATCTCAAGGATATAGATGGTAGGATGTAAAAGCACAATTTTTGTCGTTTTATCGATTTAAAGAACACCCATGTTTAAAGGAAAAACTCAAGGAAGCACGGGTTCTCATTTACATTTTTTGAACAATCCAAAAAATATACAAACTTGAGCTCGAAATCGAAGTGTAGTAATTTTCATTCAAAATTGCAGAGATCTGGGTGTTCAAAAAAAGGTTCCTTTAATTAAGGACCCGCATCCAGTTTTTAGCGTTAATAATCTGTTATATAGTGATTTTCGAATCAGTCTTACTAAATTTGAGAAACAATCGATTTTAATCAATTAATAATCGATTATAATCTCTCTTTTAAAAATCAAATTATAATTAATTATAATCCATTACAATCGATTATAATCGATGAGTTATTCGGCTATTTTTCAATACAATTATAATCATTTGTAATTGATTATAATCCACTATTTTTATTCAAATTTCTAATTCATTAGTTTTGCACAAAAAATCCATTATAATCGATTATAATTAATTATAATCCTTTTTGTTTCTCGATTTTGTCTCCAAAGTTGCATCTAAATTGCTTATATTTTATGCTTTTTGTAGACGTTGGTTCCTATGAAAAATGAGACAGTTTTTGAAAAGTTTTCCAATCCATTCAAATTTATAAGGTTTTATTTTCAATTCTTCCCCATCAGAGATGTTTTGTGATGCATATTTTAAGCTTTTTAAACCACCAAAATTTCAGCAAATTGATTTAGTTTCATGATTGATTCGGAAGATTTATTTTTCATCTAGCGCGGGAATCTTTCTACTATTATGAAGGATCTCTATGAAACGTTTGTTTCGTGGTAAATTTTTGTGTTCAGATGAACCGAAGATTATAATTGATTTTAAGGGTTTTTTGTGAGACCTATAATCAAATATAATCGATTATAAGAGGTTATAATCTCTTGGAAAACATCACGATTATAATCAATTATAGTTGTCAAAAAACATCATAATAATTCGTTATAATCGATTACTTACGCCTAGCTTCGATGCGGGAAGTGTTGAGGCGAGTCAATTCATTCACCGGTTACGCATTAATTGGACACAAACTTTGTTATTTTTCATACGTTACTAGAAGCACCAATTGGTTTTAAATCGTTCTCACATAGCGCGTAAAAAAAACTGAAAAACATACCTTTTCTCTTTAAAAGTTTGTTTCATGAAAATTTGGGAAACTGCTTAACGGACTGCCTATTTTTCGTGCTAAAAATATATCGTGCTAATAACTCTTAAGCGATGTAATTAGTGTTGAAAATCAATCCAAATTAAACTGAGGCATAAAAATTGTCTATTTGACTCAACTTTTGAAAGAAGTTACTGAAGGAAGTGCTCCCTTATGTTTTTTCTCCACAAAAATTTCGACTAGCAACTTTTGACGGATTTTTTCAAAATATAATATTCAAAAAACAATGTTATCCTATGCTCAATTTTTATAAAAAAATTATATTTTATTTGTAATTTTTTATTGAAAAATCACGGGGCTTTGAAGTTTGTCAATTTAGCTTATTTGGGATAATTAAACGGCGATATATATTTTTTGCTTTTAAAGCGTAAGCGGAGATTCAATGCGTCTTGATAAATCGTTGCAAAATAAATTGAGGCATGCTATTTTTAATATATTTAATATTTTGTTTTGTGCTAAATATATCATTTTGTTCTTTACATAGCGTGTGGGGTATGTTTTTTTTTTTTAAAAAATTGAAATCGAAATATTTTATTTTGTAAATTTTTCTGAAAGTTAATTCAATGTTTTTTTTCAAAAAGTGAACGCCACTCGATGACTTTAAAGTGCAGTCGGAACATTTACTGCTTCGCTCTGATACGAGCAATCTTTTCCATCCAAGAAGGTTTTCCAATATATTTCGAATGACGCTATTTGATCCCTGAGAATCCCTGAGAAAGAAAAAGCGTCCGCACCCCTCCCCCCTCCCCCCGCCACCCCCTAAATCCGCGGGTGTCTATAGGTGTAGATTATTTGCCATAAAACATTTATTGAAAAAACCTTAAAGAACTAAACTTTCACAGGTCTGAAGATTTGATGGTTCAAACGAAACAAACCCGTGTGCAATTAGATTTTAAAATCATCTTTCAATTCCGTATTCACATCAAGACAAGTTTTGCCAAAATCTGAAATTCGTATGGAAATTCTATTTTTGAATAATTTTTCTCTCTCGTGTTTATTGAACACCTTTAAATGAATGAAATCTTCAACTCTGAGGGCGGTTCAAATGAAATATTTTTACACCACATTAATCTTTGATTGAAAAATAGTATAAATCGGCTACTTTTTATTAGATTGATTTTTTGAGGGTCTATAGACAAGAATTTAAATTAAAACACCTCGGGTAGCCTCGCAAATATCTTATCGATACACGTGCCTTCAACCTGTCATATTGAAACTCTTTGCCTAGGTCCTTCTGAAGATAATTAGTTTTCATTGACACCTTATCAATGGACGTGCCTATCACAATATCCTGTGGCGTCTAAGAAAATTTTTCAATTCAAATTCAAATATCCTGCCTACTAAGATATCGATCCTCTTTTATGCAAAACTACCGGTATTATTTATTCATTCAAGCAAACAAATTCTTCCCTCAATGCTATAATCTGAAAAATTCTATGGCCTAAATTTAGTTAATCAACTCGGGGCTCAAGTGGACATTTCACCTGCCCATGTAGTTGGTATGCTACAAGGGTCTCTTTAGTTGATCACCTCAGTCTTCGTGAAATATTAAATTCAAAACTTGAGGTCTAGACGAGT